GTGGGTAGAGTACTTCAACGAACAGTTTAGCTGGCTAGGTGCTAACCAGACTATATCGTCTGTTGTAGTTGCGGCCCCATAGGAAGTGTCATGTAAACCTCCTAATGCAGCAGGAGTTCGATCATGCATCCAAACCCGGAAGAAAGGAAAAGCAGCAGGACCGGACGGGCTTCCCCTCACTATTTTCAAGTTGGGAGGTGATGACCTCGTAGAATCCATTAGTGATCTAATGCGTAATATCTGGTCATATGAGCGCATTCCATCATCCTGGAGCGAATCATTGATTGTTCTCATTTTTAAGAAGGGATCTCGTGACGACTGCGCAGAACACCGTGGAATAAACTTGATCCCAATCGCCACCAAGTTACTAGCGTCCATCATATTTCGACGTCTGACACCGTTTAGGGAGATAAATATCCGCGAACAACAAGCAGGATTTCCATCAGGCTGCCGGTGTGTCGATCAAATCTTCACTCTGCGTCACGTTCTCGAATTATGCCATACGCACCGTCGGCCAACAGTTGTCGTGTTCCTTGATCTAAAAGGAGAATTTGACTCAGTTGATCGTAAATCCCTTATGGATTCGCTTTTTCTCAAAGGAATGCCGCAGAAGCATGTGAACATATTGAGTTCAATATACTCACATACTTCTGGTAGCGTAAGGGTCTACGGCGAACTGGGTAGGTCGTTTGTAACTAGCAGCGGTGTTCGTCAGGGATACCCTCTTTTACCATTTCTGTTCAATTTCGTCGCAGTCGAAACACCGGAGAACACACTAAGCGGTCTCCAAAATGTAGGTATTGAATGGGCAGCTGGAGAAAAGCTGTGCTACGTAGAGTACGCTGACGATATTGTTTGTCTGTTCGAATAAATGGAGGATTCGCAAAGCGCACTTGACAGACTAACAAGTTCTGTTGCTCTATCCGGCACGCGCTTAGCACCTTAAACATGCAAAATGATGCTGCAAGACTGGGTGTTACTGAGTCCCGTTCTGAAACTAGAAGGTTAGGAATTAGCTGTGGTTGACTGCTTCTGGTACTTAGGTAGCTGCGTGACCAACGACGGTAGCGTATCAAAGGAGATAACCGCCCGTATTTCCAAGGCTCAAGCAGCATACGCAGGACTTAAACACCTGTGGCGACGACGTGACGTTTCATTTAAGTTGAAAAGTCACGTATACTGCACCACTGTACGGTTGTGAGATCTTGAACTTGCGGGTAGAAGAAATTCGTCGTTTAGCAGTGTTCGACAGTCGATGCTTACGTAGTCTGGTCCAAGTGGGATGGAGTGAGTGGGTTAGTAACTTAGAAGTAAGTCGTCGGGTGTTTGGGAATACCTCACACAGGAACTCGCTATCTCATCGAATCCAGCTCAATAGGCTTCGTTGGTTAGGACACGTGTTGCGTATGTTCGACGGTTGCCAACCGCAGCGCGCCTTATTTTCAGTGGCTGTTGTAGGCTAGAGAAAGCCACGTGAAGGCCAATAGATGACGTGGCATGAAGAAATGCACAGAGCGATTAGGTAGAGTAGGTGTCTCTCGGCTTCCGGGTTGGGGTCCAAAAGACTCCGAAACCGCATGGTTAGAGACACTGAAGATCATGGCTGCTAACCGACAGCAATGGCGATCATGCTGTCACTTCTTATCAGACCAGAATGCTTGAAATANTGAAATAGTATGTATGCAAAGCTGGACTGTTTGTTCTGTGTGTTGACCAGATCTTCCTTCCTTCCTTTTCCCGTCCCTAAGAATAGGTCCAATCCATGTCCTCCGTAAGCATTATCACTTACCTTGTATGCAATATGAATTTGGCAGTGTAAAGTTCGCTTCGCTGTATTACGCTGTACAATGATGATGAATGATGTAATTTCTTAATAATAATAATAACAACAATCATTTCATTCTCTATTTTGTTTGATATCCCGTAAATATTAGGTCAATTTTTAAGAGTGAGGACGCATTGAATAGAATTGTATTGAACAAGCACTAAGAGACTAGGACGATGGTGGTGGATTTATGACTATGAACCGATTAACGAACGACCTACAGCTTTTACTGATACATTACGGATCGCTCGTTTAAAAATTCCCTCACATTACAGTCAAACACAACACAGTTTCCAGTTTCTGCTTGGTCTTGGTGTTCTCTCATAATTGGATATTACCTCTTTTACAAGTCCCTCGTAAGGTGAAACTTCCAGATTTAGTGCACACTACTGAGATATTTCACTTGCTTGCTTCACAATTCTTTGGTGCGGAAAATCTTTCCTTTTCTAATACTACTGGAACATTATTCCCGGAAGGGTTGTTCTCAGTTGAGGTGTACCACTGTATGAAAATACTTTTAAAAGTTGTTAAAAAATTGAGTTGTACTTAAAGAGGAAGTAACTAATCCAAAGCATTTGTGCCTTTGTCCTAATGGGACGAATGGCTGAATGTAGAACGAAGAGAGTCCTCGTGGTGACAAGACAATATCCTAGTAACCTGTTTTATCCTCCATTGAAATGAACTTTTTTGTTCAGTCTAAGCAGCAGGTTTTTTCAAAGGGGTACCCGAGACCTTAGAGCATTACACACCTCGCGGTAGCCCAAACAGACGAAGAGTTATTCTTTTCGAATTTCGATTGGGGACTTTTATTCAAAAGTCTGGCCCACAAGGCATTGGGGCTTAGGTCTCACAGAAGGCGTAACTGAAGCACCCATGTAGAAGATTCTAGAAATCTGTCACTCCAGACCTTCCAGTTTTGGTTCAGTGTATCGTTTGCCAGTGCAATGGTTGACTGCACACTGTTTAGGATCGACCCTTAACCACAATGAGGCATGTGGAACGTAGACAAGACATCAAGTTATTGGTTGGGTTTTGTCCGCCTTGGATGGGCTGGGGCTATCTAGTGAAGTGTGAGGACTTTTCAACCCTCCCCCCTCGCGGTTGGGACGAATCACCATTTTCCCCGCTCCTAGGTCCACCGGTAAACTCTTCCGTGCTGGCCTAAATTGTAAACCGTTGAACCATTCTATGGAGTGTGTCGCACACATAAGTCAAAACACGTGATCCTCATTAGGTTAAGAACGAATTGCCGAAGCAGTAGAAAATAAACGACTGCAAACACTGCCAATAGAAAAAATTTTATGCTACCTGTGCTTTGGCCTCTGATCGCTTACTGTTATTCTCCTTCTTCTTACCACCCGGTGTTTCGTACAAGCCTTAAACCAGTTTTTTAGTAACAGTCAACAAATGAGATTGGAGGAAATAATTTTGCGAATAGGTTGTACAATTTAGTCATGTTGTGTTACCCTTTATCACAGAAACGTTTCGTATTTCACAAGCCTCGTTCTGTTTATCGGTGTTGGCGCATTCATGCAACGATATCAAAAATACTGCAGGTCCGCAACTTATGCGACGTAAGGGAATCGGCAACTCACTCGCTCTGTGCTGGGATCCTTTTCCATCAGCGATCGCAATGCATCGTTCATTTTTCGAGCCTGGTCAACACGTGATTTGAGATCGGCTAGCTGCTCATCCCGTGTCTCGATCAGTTCGTCTTTTTCTTCCAACTGAAGAGGAAGTTTTGATCAAAAAATAACAATCAGACAATGCAGACTATTTTCTTACCCAAAATGTTGCCACTCAAAAGGACAGTTAACTTGAAATAGGAAAAAACATTCTATCCGATTATATGGATCATGCAATAGGGTTTGTTATTGTGTCACACTGTCGACCAATAACAAGTACATACTTCTTTCTTTAATAGTTCCAGCTGCCTTGATTTCAGTTGTCCGTCTGCGTTGAGGACGGCCGTCGATTGATCCTTCAATGCCTGCTGCAGCTGGGTTTCTGCTGTTTCTGTTCTGCGACGCTCTTCTTTTACTAATCGTTCCAGGTGTGAAACCCGGTTTCTGAGCTGACGCTGAAAAATAAGTGACAGATGTTTGATGCAGTGCTGTGTTAGTTCGGTGGCGAAATTCACATAAGACGAGATTCGCAAGATTACGACCGAAAAAATACATTCCGTTTTAATGAAACTAAAGACGCTTTTCAGGCATTGAATCAATACTGTGGACGTGCGTGGTACTGCTGAACGAAGTATGAACGGCAAATTCCTGCAACTCTGCTGATTAATATAGGCTTGCAGTGACGAATAAATTCACAGAAGATTGTACTAACCCCGAAATTCAGTCATCCATTTCTTGCTTCACTTTTTGCGACGTTAAATGCTTCCTTGAACTTTGAGGGAAATATTCACAAATGACGACTGAATTCTGCCGCATAACTTTACTGCCGAAGTACAGTAAAGCTGTTGTTCTCTGAGTTTGCAAACAGGTATGAAAATCGTGGCTAGTTTGGTGAGCTGAGTTTCAATTTCAGTTTATAAGTGATGTTAAACAATCACCCTGAGGCTTCCTTGAGTACAATAGGTGACTCATAATTGATTCAAATGAGCGGTGTTTGTGCAGCTCCTCCTCACCTTATTCACCCGATTTTATTGCTGCAAACCCAGATTTCATTCTAACAAAAAATTTCCGTTACTTTTCATATGATCTTTTATATGGTAATCTGAACCGGCGAACAGTGCTTCGGCTAGAGCTGTTTATACGTAACCCGAGTTTAGTTCGTGAGTGTCATCAGTAGCGGTGAAAGTCCTTCAAACCGACATGATTGAAAGTCTATATACATCCGCATCACATGGTCGACGAGACGCATCTGATCGGAAGTTCATGGAGTTTACCAGGCACGAATCGTCAGACAACCAAAGCTCTAATCGATGTGTTTTCCCCAATTGTCCATTAGTTCATTTGTATTATCTGATAAATAATCGGCTGCCATCACGCTCATGTCGAGTTCTCTCTCTCTCGCGAAGGGACGCTCGCATGATCTATGATATCGAGACGCGCATGTAACATCCACTTACCTCAACATCCAAAGCAGCTTTACCCGTCTCCGTTTGGTCGTCGAATACATCATCGCTTCCAGCGCTCACCGTACTGAATGTGCTGGTGCGACTTTCTGCACTCAATTCCATACTGTCCCCGTTGGGTGGTATGCCCAAGAATCTGGTATGAAGATCAATACGACGGAGAAGGGATGTAACAGATCATGGTTGATAGAAAGCGTTAGTATTCCTTTAATTCATGATTATAACTGCTGTGCCCATTTATCAAACTGACCCAATATGCCAAATGTGGGCATTTGTTGTTTTGTTGCTTCTTGTTCGTTTAAGCACAGCATTTCAATCTCCAGATGTTATTTTGAGGTCAAGGGTGATATAAAACAGAACATCACTGGCTCATCTCCCTTTCTACGCACCTCAGTAAACTTGGAAAAGTCAATGGATGATGCTGTATGGTTTACCGAGCTTACAGATGTTTCGTGTGATGACTCACTGGTCCATATGCCAGTATACGGATTTGACTTTCGAGCATTTGCTGCCCAATCAACTAAAAACAACAATATCCAGCCTTAAATGTTCCGTTCGACGATGTGTATATGTGTGCGTGGAATGCACAATGACATTTAACCATAGTGTCAGTGAGTCAGCATTAAGAGTTTGTACTCGGATGGAAAATACCACGAAGCACAACACGAGAACTTACCGATCAAGGTCTGTTTGCAGGCTGTCTGTACGTTCTTGCAGTATTTCCAATAATTTGTTAACCACATGGTTTTTGCTTTCCAGATGACCGATATATGTCATCAACTCGCGTTCCCGTCGTTCCGACTCGGTTCGAAGTTCCCCGGTTGTGTCCTCCAGGAAAGTTACTCGAAGTTGTGCTGTGCATGCTTGTTCACGAGCGGCTGTCAAATCAGCTGTCACCTCATCTGTAAAGTTAATCGGTAAGAACAGGATGAACTTCGATGCAATCAAGCTTCAAGAGAAACAAAAAGGGTCCTTCACTCACCCACGTTTTAATCGTTATAGCTAATAGTAGTTAGTCACTCAGTGCATGGTGTAATCGGATTGGTAAACTAGACTCTGACGGCAACTTTCATCTGGATTATAGCGGAAAAAAATCGTATTTGAACCAAATGCGATAATCGCGTACCATACAAATGGTAGTAGGAGCTAGTTTATCTGATTTAAATTAATGTGCTAATATATACTGCATCACTTGTTGACAGTCAAACGAGACGAGATTAGATTCAATCTAAACAGTTGATTTTGATGAGGCTGATTAACCCTTGCGCATCTCCATTATGCACTGTCCTTGGGTCATTCAGTCAAACATTCACTTGGGAAGCAATTGAATTGAGTCTCCTTCGCGATAGATCTCATCCTGGGTTTGAACTCCGGATCGTAAACGTAAATTATAACGAGCAAACAAGAATGTTGAAGTCAAACTTAAAGGAACCTTAGATCTATAATACTTCCCGGATGTATGGTTAACTGTATGAACTGAGGACCAAGGTTAGATGAATTGCCAGAAAAAAACTAATTACAGTTCACAAGTAATTATAAGTTAAATATGAATTCAAAACGGAGAACTCTGACACAATCAAAACGTCCCACATGGACCACATAAAACTCAACCATTTGGATAGACCCTTCAAGAATAGCAATTAATTATAGGTTATCAAAAATGAAGTTAAATGTGTTCAAATAATGGCATGTAAATTTGAAACTATCAGTGAGTTGAATGAAACACAAAATTAATCAGTTTTCATTCGAATGGTAGCCCCAACGAGAGTTCCCATAACCAAGTAATGTGCACTGAGTTCCCATACTTGTGGTTATATTACTTGCATGCGCACTATAATTTGAGGCTAGAAAAAGTCATNCCCGATTGTTCAGGTGTCCGGGTACAAAACAAGCTTGATACTGAAGGAAGTCAAATTCTGACTTCTATCAATGATCCACCTTCACAGATACCTTTTTGATCCCCGAAACAGAAGTGAGAACACTGAGCCTAATATGAGTTTCCGCTTACAATCTGGTGAAGTATTCTATGTCCATTAGTTCATCTAGATGCAAAAGCTGCACCCTTACTCATTGCAATCACGTAATATTTATTCAATCTGTTATTGTTTGTTGGTGGTCCGTTGGTAAAGGAGGTCGTGAGCCCAAACCCCATTAATACCATTACTACTAACTTCCCACCCTCCCATTTCTTGTTTGGTGGAGTTCAATCGGTTATAGATACCATCTTTAATATGGGTTATCTCTTGTTTTTGTGTCCAGTTAATGAAAGCAAAGAGGTTAATGCTGTTTTTATTATTACTGTCCCAATGTATATGTCTCCTTTGACGCCTTGTATGATTGACCATAATCGGTTAAAAAGGGCAAAATAAATATTGTTCGCAGGCCTGTACTCTTCTCTATTTGTTTTTAATGACACTGAGCATTAGTACACAGTATGGTTTGGCTTATTTGGCATAGGAAGTAAGTACATGTCCAGCGTGAAGAAATACTTACCGAGCTCTTCTTCTAATGCGCTAATTTCTTGCATCATCACTTCGCGTGTCATGTTGTTTACATTGCCACTTTTTTCACGTTCTCGACGGGTTCGTTGTTCGATTTTACGTTCCTCGGCTCTCAATCGTGCATTTTCATCCTGGAGTTCAGCAACACGTTTCTTCGCTCGCAGAAGCTGACATCGTAGGCAAGTACAATCCGGGTGGGGAGGGGGAGATTAAGACATGAGGGTTGTGTGTAAATCAAACAGCATTAACCTGCCATCAAAAATGTCATCCAATCTAAACAAACTACGAACTGGGAAACAAAATTCATTAGGGGGAAATTAAAATAAGTTTCACCTGAGTCTCCTGCTCTTTTAGCGATTCACGTGCGTCGTTGTACTTTTCCATCCACTCGTGTTCACGTTCAATCGAACCGACCAGATTGACTTCACGTGTGAGTTGCCTTAGGCGCTTGTTCCACTCCTTGATGCGTTGAGTCAGCGTCTCGTTCTGTTTGGTCAGTCGATCGATCGTGGTCTCCTCAGTGTCTTCGGAAGCGTTGGTCTTACCAGTAACCGGGGTCTGTGCACGCAGACGACGATTTTCACTCTCCAACCGGTCTCGTTCACC